TTGTTTTATCTCAAAGTAGGTGTAATGAGTTTGCACCTTTTGGTGGTTTAAAACAACAAAAAAAACTCCATTAATTCCTCCATGTAAAACAATGGACCCTTTACCACAGCCACACAGGAATAATTTGGTTAGATTATTTACACTCAGTGCTAAAATTCTGGAGAATGTGCTGCTTCGACACCCTTCCAGACAGCTTTTTGAAAAATGTCTTCAGTTGTTTCAACTCATTAACAGAGCCGCCAGGAAAACTGAACACATCACTCCCGATCTTCAAGTCAGATTTAATGTATATAGCCTAATGTCACAAATTTAATAGCTTCTGCTAGTTTATAAATCACTCAGTGATGAGGGGACAATGCACGTTGCCGACGTCCCTAACGCTATAAACCCAGCAGGGCTCAGAAGGCAGTCAGCTGGTAGAACCTCGAGTCAGAACCAAACAGGGTGAAGCTGCTTTCAGCTACACAGATGGAACCAACATCTTGATGGTCTCAAATGTGCCCCATAGTCACTTTCAAATCTAAACTAAAAACTGCTGTTTTTCTTTAATTAATTGGTTTCTCTTAAGTACTTTGGTCTCTTCTCTTGCATTCAGGGCAACGTACAACTTATTGCTGCATTGTTAATTGCTCTATATCTGTGTTTCAGGTCAACGATTTTCTTTGTCTATTTATTTTTTAATGTATTTTATTTCATTGTCAATTTTTCAAAATCAAAAAAGGGCTTCCACACTCTGAAAGATCCTTCAATATTGATTTTTATTTTTTAGCTTTAAAAAAACATTTTTTGGACAATATTTTGACCATTTTCACCTTGTTTTATTCTTTATCCTGTGTGAATTGTACTACATACATTTTAAAAAAAGACGCTGTGCCTTGTCTTGAAAAAGCTCCAACTGTGATTACTATATAGGTTTCATTAGGAATGTTTGTGTGTGAGTAACAGCAAGGCTCAGGAGGTGCAATCATGAAATTACAGCATTTTCAAACCTTGTTTTCCTGTGCAAAGATTGACAGATTACCCAGTGTATTTGCCATGTAATGCTCCCACTAAAGACCCATTTTACTTTTATAAAACTGTGCTTATCTTCAAATGTCAGTTAAACACCGAGCAGTCAGAATGGTTTTGCCATGTCAGAGAGGAAACAACACAGGCCTGATGGAACAATGTGTGACCAGATGGACAAAGATATGGAGGCAACCTGTGATATTACCATGATAAATCATGAGACTGTTCTTAATCCAGTCTCATCATTATTGTACCCTTGTTTCAATATGGCACGTCCATATGTGCCGTTGGTGCACCAGGGAAACATTTACATACGGATATTAAAATGCACTGTGCCACCAGGTAGCAGAAATGTTTGCTTTGATTCATGGTGAGTGGCTTTTAAGTTAAAGATGGTTGAGGTTGTTCCATCAGCAAACAATTCAATCAGTTTTCTTGTAGAGGCAACATGAGATGGGGAGCAGAAGGAGGTGTACATGGAGTAGAGAAGGGTTGAATAATTAACTGTGTCTCCGGGGAGGGCTTTGCATACTCCTCGACATCACTGTAGAGGCAATCCACCCAACAGAAAAGACCACCTCATTCCTTATTCATGGAAATGGCCCACTTCCTTCCCAGTCATATGACTTGAGTCTAAAAATACTCCAGAGGTCATTTGCCAGGCTTATTATGATCAATATTTCCTCCCTGCCTAGCCCCCTCTACCCAGCTGCTCCCAGGTGGGATGCTGCTGTGCTCAGAAAAGCTAGGCAGCACCAAAGGGGTCCAATAACTGTACAAGTGAAATACATGCGGTATCGCCCAGATAATGTTGTGTGCACTGATATTACATAAGTGAATTACATTTCACTTGACAGTGCCATGGGAACTGCACTGAAAGGTTTAGTGGAGTCTTTTATTTTTATATGATACAGTTTTAAAGTGCTCAGCCTTGTAATGTGTAACTGGACATGTTCATGCAAACAGTATCCGATGTTTTACTGTCAGATTAAACCTAAATCACAGGCAAAAGCCATTTAGTAAGGATTTTCAGAGTGGCCATGCACCACACCTACAGGACTTCATGTGTGTGCAGGTGGCTGTGCCAATAACTGGCATGTTTGCAGTAGAAACCATACAGAGATAATTGTCGTGGCTTACATTTCTCAACATGATGCTGCGTGTTGTGCAACACTCTGTGCTTACATGCACTTGCAATGCACTGAGCGTCAGGACAGAGTAATCATCTAAACTCAGGGTCACTCAGAAAGCAGCGGGGAGGTTAGTGTGGCTAGCAGCAGTCTAACATATTCGATGTTTTACACACATTACCCAGATTGCTTGACATTTGGAAATAGCACCCGCATACTTGTCTACTCTTCTGATTCCTTATACCCCATACTGTCCTCTTCTTTAACAGATTCACTTTTTTCCTCTGCTTTTTTTGTGTTGTTCCAATTCAAACAAAAAATAAATTAATAAACATGAGAATACCAAAGAATTTGTGATTGCAACAATTTTCTGGGAGAAATGGTGCATTATCTGGCAGAAATGCAGGGGTGCCGATATTTCTGACCATGGCTGTAAATCTAAACTTAAAACATTAATATGCAGCATATAAATAGTTGGAAATGTGTTTTATTGATTAGCTCTGTGGCCTCAGAGCACTGCACAGATATGTTTTGTCTTTTCTGTGCAGATTATTTGTACTCTGAGTTTTCACCAGGCATCTGTGTCAATTTTACTCCACCTCACCTTTAGGGGCAATTGACTGTTCTGTTATGTACACTGCTATCTAATGACTTCCAATTGACTCCAATCACTGACCCAGCTGGGTAACAGTCAGTCCCTCCATACATCATGAGCTATAATATTAATGTCAGACAAGAAAATGCTGGACAGTAACTGTGGGAAACGTATTTGATATTACAAATTTTCAAATTTGAAAGTAAAAGGGGAATTCCAGCAATTTAGTACTAACATTTCCATGAAGGGTCAGAATCAAAGACAAATTCAGTCCCAACTGAGGATGCAGGGTTTTAATTTAGTCTTTCTGAAAAAATGAAATGTTTCTGGAGTCTGCAATCTATATTTTATTATACATCAGTGAAGAACATCTGCTTTATCCATCAATAGTGACCCGTTATCCTACTCATCTTTAATGTGTAAAAACATATACACCTTCCTGCTCATTCTTATGGCTGACAACCCATCAATGACATTGCAAAAAGATTACTTTTTTTTTTTTTTAATACACCTCTTTCCCTACAAATGGAGTAACCGACATACTGTTGGCCATGTTTACAGCTGTATTTTTTTTTTTTTCATTTTCATGATGAAAAATGTTTTCTTACTCCTGAAACCTAGAAAAGCATTTACTTTATGCTAGTTCTCTCTGCAGGATACTCCATCTTGAGTTACAGTACTGCTTCATTCATCAAGGAAAATGTTTGTGAGCAACATTTTAGGTTCTATTTTTGAGTGATCACACAAGGCTCTCTGAGAAAAACCAAATCAAAAAACATTTCTACATCCAGGCCACGTTTGATCTGACCAAAGCGGTTATCTTTTACTTGGATTTCTTTTGCAACCAACAAAGTGGCCCATTCGGTCCACCCTCTACTCCACTGTGAGTACAAGTGACACCATTTAGGCCATTTCCCTGGAGAGGTCACACAAACTCTGTTGCTCCGCCGAGCAATCTGCTGTTAAGTGAAATGTTTGCCCTGTGACAGACAATCCTCTGCTGGGCCTCAAATCCACAGCAGAACCTTACGCTGGCTACTTGGATGCCAAGTCCTTCCAAAACCCTCTGCACTTACTCATTTAACTCCTGGAACATTGTGACAAGTTAAATTACTTTTTAATATATTGCTCTTAATTTCATTTCATGTACCTCTGTATAATTCAAACTACTTCTTGGAAACGGATACATTCAGTGTAACAAGTATTATGAGATCCGTTCCAAGCAGTCTTTCTAGTTCTAAGGTGTTACACACAATTAAGTGATGTGATTGGGTTGTCAGCGCCCAACTCCACAGGGACAACAACTGTCAGTTAGTGTAACTGCCCATGGTGGTGATCATAAGAGGAGGAAGGTTGTGAGAGGTCCCAGTGTGACATAAATATTTGATAGAGCTTTTAATAAAAGACTTAACAAGCTAAATTATTTAGGAGACAGGTCTCAACTGAACCGCACCCAGAGCTAAACGGGTGTATGGTGAATTATTTAGCCACCCACATTTAGCTCCAAAAAAACCTCATCAAGCTAACAAGTTGGATGACATCCTGACTCCTTCCCAGAACCCTTATAAAGTTGTGAAACATGTCTGTTCGCTGTCAGATATATATTCAGGATAAAACTAAGATAAATTGGTCAATGAAATATTTTTCTTTTTACAGATGATGGGTGCTTTGAAAGCAAAGTCAGAAGGCTGAATCTGTATTATTAAGTTCCACAAGGACTACAAACCACAGAGAGGGCATTACAGAGCTCCTGAAGTTCATTTTAAGAGGAACACTTGGCATCAAGAGGCACTGATCCTTGAAATTTGACTTCCATATGATCACCTTTGATTCCTCAGCATTACAAAAAGCAAAAATCCTTAAAACACATAGAAGCCAGTAAGTAAAAGAAGTAAGCCAGCATGGTAGAGCACACCAGAAAGTCAAACATGAAGTGAAAGGACACTGGGCAGTGCAAAATATAGTTGCATCTCACCACTTAAATGACATTAAGGTCATCTTGCAAACCTCAAAACAAAAGTTTGGGAGGGGGTTTCAAAAATTAAACTGATTATTTAAAGTATAGTGTAAAGATCCATGCATGGATTGTTGAAATGTTTATTCCTTTTCAAACAAAAATGAAGAATACATGTCTATATGTGGGGGGGACAAAACAGGGGCTGATGCATTTAAAGGTCCCCACAAAAGTCACCTGTTGGAGGACTGGACCGAAAAATGAAATGAATGAAAGGTGCCCAAAGATATCAGAAGAGTGAATAAATGATCAGGTTGTCCAGATAGCTAGTAGTCTACAAATGATAAGTAATTAGTACAGTGAATGTCACCAAATCTTTTGAAAGCACTGCACATCACACAACCCTCCAATTGTCAGTAGAATACTTCACATAAGGTTTTGCTATTTTCTTTCCTTTTATGACTTGAGACCAAGAGGTATTGGCATTTGCACAAGAAACTGTAGCTGTTGCTCACTTGAAACATCATTTTATATGACTGAGCTGAACCTATCTGACAGAGGGGTCTTGGAAATCCAATTCATGTGGGGTTTTATTTCTATATAGTCAGAGGAAATGCCTGGAAGTAAAAACACATCTTAATAAAACCCTTAACAAGGAAGCCAGAAGGCTCAGCAGGTCTTCACATAATGGTGGAGACTGTGGTATTGATCAACAGCCCTATCAACTCCTCACAGACACGAGTCACTCCGTCTTGAGCCAGTAAGACTCTTGGTTCCTGCACCTTTGCACCAGTAGAGCTGTTCAATGCCCATTTTAGTTAAACTCAACATCTTAAAGCTGCACTGATCAATTTTTTTTTTTTTTTATATTCAATGACAAAGGCGTCGCCCTCGGTGGCAAACCCAAAGGGCATTATCATCAGCTCTGCAGTTCCCCTCGGCTCTCTGGTGTATTGTAGTGTCTTACAGCTCATCATTTTGGTTTTATAGCCCATATCTTTGTTTTAGTTCAAGCCTTCTATATGAATAGGTGCTGATAAACCCGGGTATACTCCTAGCCCTTTACCGAATGACAGAACATGGAAGCCTGCCGTTTTTAAACTATGCCATCACATTTACTTACTGTGACACATCTGGGTATCCTGGTGCGACTTTCATTCAACTTGTCTGCTTGATATTAATTTCTCAAAATCACGCTTTTAAGAAGAGAATCCCAAGTGCCCATGTACCAGTGTTGATTAGAGCTCAGAAACCAACTCCATTATAAGGTCTTCTAGATGATGTCAACATAATCAATAATGCCATTACCTTTAATTGACTGCGATCACACAGTTTATTAGATCAACACCACAATAACCCTCCCTCAAGCAATCCTTTCTGAAAGTCAGTGGAAGTACTTGCCTCCTGCAATCAGCTTTTTACTATGCCTTCATAAGTTTAATGAAATTTCAGCACAGCAGCACTAAAGTGCATCTTCCTGTAACGTCTCCTTTATCTTTGCTTTTTTTAACTCTTCTCCTGTCACACTGATGAATCTGAACTAACGGGCCCTGACTATATATCATTTTATAACAAATGTGGAAACCTTCCAGATATTTTAGAAAGACATGCTTGATTGTGGCTTTAAATATCCTGCAGATAAAGGCAGAATTTTTATATCACTTTTAAACTTCTATCTCGGGACCACCTTTAGTTATGCTTTGCTACTTTTACGGCTTTTGAAGTATATTGGCCTCTTCTCTAGTATATAGAAAAAAACTTTTAGAAAAGTTATCACAAGGCAGTTTTAAAGGAGTGTATGTCAGAGGGAACACAATCCACTTTGATCACAACATTAGTGCTGTAGTACTTGTGTTCCTTGTTATGCCATGGGAGCAGCCAGATACAGTATTTTCTGAGAGCGCTTGTAACCAGGACAGGGTGTTCTCCTCGTTTATCTGCCATGGTTTCCCGCTGGCGTGAAAGGGCTGTCTGTTAATTTTTTATTTCATCATTTGAAACACATCAGTAAAGTAGGTTTCCTAATTAACCCCACTGCCTATGCAGACTGAGCCAGGAGGCAGCTTTAAACACAAGACTCAAAGTGTTTTCTGTTTTACTACGACCTAGTTCCATCACCTAAAACCTCAAAGACAGCATAAACATTCTCCAGAAAAAAAAAACAAAGAAATAGGTATTAGTTTGTCCCATTGGTCAAAAACAGAAAAACCGTAATATAAAATGGCAAAGTTTATTTTAGCGAATGATCGGTTTTGTCGGGGTGGGTGAGCTTATTGTTGCTCGAGTCCTCCTGCTGTGAACTGGCCTTTTTCATCTCACTCCATTCTCTTTTCACTTCTGACAGCAGAAATAGCAGGCCTGGAGACAGCTGCATATCAAATGGAAAACACAGCCTGCATTAGCACATAGACTTTGTGTAGGATATACTGCCATCCACTATCTTGTTATCTCCTGTTTGGGAATTGAATCGGGCAGAGAGGAGCTGTACAGTAATCACACTGCCACATTCAATTAATTGTGTGTTCCAGTGAGTGTGATGCATACGGCCTGTTGTCCTCGCTGCCATAGCACATAAACCTGTCTCGAAAACATCTGAGACAACATGTTGAAATGTGACATTTTATCCTCATTGTCAACCTGGTGAAGATGAAAACAACACTATCAGTAGGCTGCTGCAAATCATGGTCATTGGTTTTAAGCTGTGGTGTTGGATAAAATACTGAGGTGGAGGATGTTTGTCACCTTTTCAGAGATAGTTTGTATAGACCAACATAACTCACATAAATGTAACCAATATATTATAATGTAGAAAAAGTTAAAACAGAAGTAATGTGTAGCATCCCCAACAGAGAGAGAAAAAAAAAAAAAAAAAAGCAATTCAATGTCAAGTAACAGCTTTCTAATGCAGAGACGGTCAGACAGCTTTCCACTTGTGTTGCTCTGCTCCTAGATTTAAAACACTCCCTCAGTGAAATGCACTGGTTCAATGTGGTTGAGTTTCATAGCTTTCATCGCCCTACTGTACTAATAAAAACCCCGCAGGTAGCCGTTTTCAGTACACAAACTCAGATATGCTAGGCACAGATGCAGCCATGAGGAGTGACATTTGCTGAATCCCAGTTCTCTTATTTTATCATTCCTCAGTTCTTGGTCCAGAAGTTGCCGTGGTCTGCCATGATGAAGGATGTCCAAAGGCTCTTATTTCTGCTTTGAGGAGTGAGGTGGCTGACTGGAAGAGCTGTAACCAAGGATACATCCTTCGTATCCTTCGCAGAAGTCTGTTACAGATTGACATGCCACTTTAAGTCAGATGGTGATTGGATGCTTCACATGAAAGATCGAAGGAAAGGGCATGTTATGGCAGTTAAAACATGTTCTCTTCTCCTCACTCTTTGTAGTTTGTTCATGCATCTTACATGGGCAGGACAAAGACTCAGTGAGGGAAATGTGAATGCAATTAGAGGAATTGGGATTTATCTATGGTCTCAGTTACAGCCACCATAACTGATGCTGAATTCATTGGACAAACTTCATTCCATAAATGAGTGTCCTTATATCCTTGTACTATTAGGTCATATTCATCTGTGCAGGCAAAACAAATCCTTAGGTATTATTACTCCTTGTAATGTTTGTTTAATGTTTTCGGTTTTTAAAGCATAGATAAATAAAAAGAATCACTAGCTGTATACAAAACTGCCAAAGCGACCTTGAGTCAGAGGGCTGTGCTTGTTTGAGAAGTCAAATTGTGTACATACTGTACCTCTGCTGTGGCACTGAAAATCACATGCTGATGACTCAAAGCCTCTGAAGGTTGCTTTGTCATTGCAATAAGATGGAAGAACCTTAAACAAATGGAAGGACAAAAGCAGCCTGTTTACTTTGAATTGTAGGAAGGTACAGAAGCTCTTGTTTTTAGTGTTAAGTCACTGCCACAGAGAAGGATTCTATTGCTTTTTGTAATCTTACCTTGGCTTAATTTACATCAGAGATTAAGCATTTAAACTACTGCAAACATTAGCCTAGTGCATTAAAAACTAAATTTTCTTTTTGTTATTTTTAACATTTTTTTTTTCCAGTAATTACTAGCAATAGGAATCAACCTAAAAAACTAATAACTGTTTGTCACAAGTTGCTTTTAGCCAGTTTTGGTTTTTTAGCTTTGGACAGATGCTGGATAGCTGTTCTCCTGTTTTCACGCTTTATGCTAGGCTAAGCTAACCAGATGCTGGCTGCAGTTTTATATTCAACGTACATACTTTGAGTGGTACTAATATCAGCTCTAGGGTTAGCTGTGATATTCCACAGCTTTGCCCACAACTTTGTAACCTCCATTAAGTGCTTTGCTTGAAAAACAGATTGAAAGAAAATATTTGCTGAATTTTCTAGGATTATATTTTCCATTATGAAAATATACATAAATGCTGAAAATATAAAAAGTTTGAAAATGAGATATAAAAAGAAACCAGTAATTGCTTGGGAGAAACTGTCATACTGTATAACCTTCCAAAGTCACACTTTACAAATTCTGCGGAAGAAGTAGGAGGAGGAGACAGACTCACCAGTAGCTTATCAAACAGAGAGAATATGCAACAAATATGGAGATGACATTTCTGCAAATAAATAAACCCAAACTCAAAATACTAACCCAACATCTAAGCTGCCACACATAATAGCATGTGATGATACAAGGGTACAACTACACATTCTTTTTCTTGGTTACCATTAGTACAAAGAAAGAATCTTTGAAATGATCGTCACAAAATAAAAAGAAAAGGGAAACCCTGGCAGTGCTGAGAAATACTGAATGACAGCTGTCACAGATATGGATCAAAACTATGTAGAGGGGGAGTGACATTTGAAACCTGAACACAAACCAGGCGCTGCATGAGACTGCCACACCACACAAGGTGAGTTAATATCCACTCAACCGCTGTGTTTCAGATTTTCAGTCTGTCTCCCAGTGAGAGCATTCAACATTATGCAAAACAGCTGTGTGTTTATATTTGCGGGGGTTTGTATGCTGGAAGGTTATTGTTCCAATGTAGATATAAATAAAAGATTCAAATGCTGACTTTGTCACCCCAGCCTGTATTTCTGATCCCTCAATTCATCTAAATTTATCTGCTGTGTCTCAAGCAAACAGACAGAGCGGAAACAGGAAGTCATCACAGCTTCGTAGAACCACATACTGATTCTTCAATAAAATGTCTCATACTTCAATTTCCATCTCAAACAAATTGTGGAGATTGTTTTTGCATTTCCATCTTCTGAGGTATTTGTAGCACAAAAACTCCCTCAGGGAGTCAATCACTGCTGCTGTTGTATGAAACAAGTTTTGATTTATATCAATAAGTAAAAAGCGGAATTTGAATGAATCGTCCTGTTGTCAAAGACATGTTCAGTGACGATGTCCTGTCATTTGTTCAATGTGATTTTTCCCTAACCTTAAAGGGGAACTCTCCTGGTTTTATACATTAGTCTCTTTACAGGTCTTGCTAAGTACTGAATATGTGGGAAAGGTTGTATAAAACCTCTGTGGCTCCAGAGGGAGCTGCAAAATTGGACACACTGGCTGGAGTCACAGTTGAGTCAGCTACAGATGGGTCTGAAGACTACATGTTTGGAAATGAAAGAAAAATGGGGGTGTTGAGTTAGGAAGAAGTGAGCTTACCAGGCCCCCATAGCTGCACCATAACTCTGCTGTAGGTTAGAGGCTCAAAGCTACATTAGCCACTGACACACCCAAATCCATGACTTGAGCCGTTTGCTGTCACAATGACTCGTGTTTAATGCAGGTGGCAAGCTTTGACAAAGAACACAAATGGATGAAATAAAAATTGCCTGTGTGAGGGTTCAAAAATGGCAGCAGGTCACATGATTCATATAGCTTCAAATTGTTTCAAACAGCCAATTAAGATCCATTGTTTTCCACAGGGAACAGTAGGAGTTTTGAGCATTTACTGTTTTTAATGACTCGTACAGAAAAGCAAACTAGTTCAGTGTCCTGTTGTTGTAGATAGCACAGTTAATTCTGCTAGTTAGCTAGGAACCTAGTTATTAAAGTGACCCAATATGTGAGAGATGCAGTCAAAATGGTTTTAAAATACATTTTGACGTCACTAAATTAAAATACCACAAGAAATCCTATTTCTGGCTCAGAAAGGCAGATGAACTTCACCAACCCCAAACTCTAAATCCACGATGGCTGCTCTCCATTCATCAGCAGTAACAAAGTGTAGTAATATGTTCTTTGTTAGCACTCAGTCGTACACACAGTACCGTCCAGCTTCTATTTGTTAACATGTTGCTACAGTGTTAGTATGCACAAATGTATTGTTATAAACGTATTGCTAACAATAGCTAAAATGGCTCAACAGGTATTATGGTTAACTGAAAACTGGAATGTAGTTAGCTCGGGTGTGATGTCATTCCTTAGCTCTGACTTCCAACAGCGGCATCAGATCAGAAAACACTTCTACTGGACATTTTGGAAGGCAGGTGCAAACTATATCTGCCTGAAAAATATGTTTTTGTCATCAGGTTTGGCTGCGTTGTTGGGTTTGACATGGCTGTTACTCAAGAGCTAAAACAAATTATTTTGAGGCTAAACACACTGAGCAAGATTCATTAACCAGGAGTATTAACATCGTAACAGATGGAGGGAAGCTAAATGCCAGGACATTTAACAAATCTGCATTTTGCAAACTTTAGCAAAAGCCAAAATTGCAGCTGTACCTTTCTTATGTTCACCCTGGCTCACACTTTTTTTCTCTATTGAAACAAAGACACTATATTTAAAAAAAAAAAAAAAAAAAGTTGTAGCATAATTCTGCAACAAACTGGCCCCGTGGAAGCCTCTGCCCAGCCCTTAAGTAAGCTGTGGCTGATGGTCAATTGATCACAGCTGTGGAGGTCAGCACAGGTGTATGCCATGCCCGAGACAAATTACCTGCCAAAAGAAGAGGGAGAGAGAGAGCGGGAGGGAGAGAGGGACATGTGGAGCAGAGCAAGCCTGACAATATCTGATTTCTATGATTTTACCGAGTAAGCAAAGTGATGGAGAAGGAGGGATTCTACGGCCCAAGATGGTGGAGAGTTTCTCTGTCAGTGCTATCCAGAGGGAATGAACTGGTTGGCAGGTCCAAGTAGCATGAAAATAATTGTCACTGTGTGCACTGTGAGCAGATGTTTGTGTCGGTAAAACCCATTTTGAACATTTTACTTTCTGTATTATGGGTCCTATAAATGGTCTTGTATTGTATAAGTTGTAAGTTTACATTGCTGGTCATAGAAAAGATGTTATTGCAAATTTCTGTCCAGGAGTCGGAGCTGAGGGAGAGTTAAATCGTTTTCCCAGTTGAGTTTAGGTATTGTTATTGTTGAAGCTGTATTTGATATCAGTTTATATAGCTTGGATATCATTTTCTTGGAATATGTAATTTTCATAATCTCTTCAATTAATTTGGAGGGTTGTAGTGGGTTATTGGTTACACTAATCTTTGACTTAATTGTGGATTTTAGTTGATTGTACTGGAGGAACTGTTCTCTCTGAACTTCGTACTTCTGGATCAGTGTATTCAATGATATGAACTAGTTATTTTCAAATAGGTGGTGTGAGTGATTCCTTTGTGTTGCCATGTTGGGAAATAGATAGGATTATTACGGTGTGCAGTTGAAAATCAGGGTTGTGCCAAATAGGAGTGTATCTACATGGTGCAAGTGATGATTTAGTGATTTTGTTTGCTTTCCACCAGGCTGTCAGAGTTGACAGGATTGTGATGTTCTTAGAGTAATTCATTTTCTTAATATCTTGGGTAGAAAAGGAAGATCTGCAACTGAGTTATTAAAGTTATTTTTGGAGTAATTTTACTGAAATTCTATCCATGCACTGTTATAACTGTCCTGAATCCATTTGACTAAATAACCCCAGCTCACACTTGATTTGTTAAAGAACATGGTTAATTAGAAGTCATTAGGTGGAGATGTTTTTAATCCGTAGACTGACTACATTTCATTTTATAAAGCATCCCAAATGTCTTTTCCCAGCATTAAAATGAGTCAATATGGCCTATGGTCAGTTTTTATCTGTCTGGCGGTGTTGTGGCTGTGACAGAAGTCTTCTTAACAGAGTGTTTCCATACATACAGTATTGAATACTTACTGCTTTCTTTATTATGTACATGTGCTGAAGCTTTTAGATGCAACTTTGCCTCATTCTCTCTTGCTCTACTTTTTCACTTTTTAGCTTCCTTTTCCTGTTTGTTGCCAACATGTTGTACTGCTAGTATAATAAAGATAGTATAATAAATATATAGTGTATTTACCAAAAATATGTGTCTTCATCCCTAGTGGTGATGGGACATAGCATTAGCTGGAAAACCTGCCCCAGTGTGTTATTACACTGCTACTTATGTCACCATTCTCCCACAGCATGCAACTAATTTCTGCCCGAGCTCGTCTGGAATGTCATAGTCAAAGTCAAACCTTCAGCTCTGGATAATCCGTTACTCACCACAGAGACCACAGAAATCCAATCCAAATTCAATTTGGCCTGTGATTGATTACCATGCTTGCTACATAATTAGATGGGCTGCTAGGCTAATAACTAATGTAGATACATAAAAGCCATTTCCTTCAGCTTTCATGTAAACATGCTGTTGACATCTCTAGCCACGTATGGCCATGCAAAATCACTTATCTGTCACTGGCTTGTACAAGAATTTCCCCCAATTCCACCAATGTGTCAATCAGCTAAAGTCAAGTCTAGAATTATTCTATAAACAAGTTTCTAGATTTCCCTCCTCTAAGAACTGTGAGCGTTCTCCTGATTTCTGAAGTGACC